GGAAACCTTTCGTTCGACTGTTGGATCGTCTTTGATCGATCATCGTTCCTGATCGTATTAGAGGTATCGCTAATTCGAGGCTTAAATTCGTCCTATTAGCATTGCTTGACAACGTGTTGCAAATGCTAGCGGTAGTTTCCTATACCGGAACAATATCTGCGAAAGCATACAGAGTATGTACGAATACGAGTACACGAAGATAGAAACAAAACGCAAATGAAATCGATCCCGGGTATTAAAATTTCCAACAGTCAACGGCGAAATGTGATCGATTGCGGAAGCTACGTTTGTTTCGCGTGGGGAATAATTATAAGTGAAGTTGTCTCTTTTTTTCTGTACTCTATTACTATAGTATATTGTAATATTATAATACGTTTGTTTCAGGAAAACCTATCTACTGTGAACGATGGAACGTTTTTCAAATCCTTTTATTTGGGATCTGAGGAAGAGAAGAGTTAATAGTATTGGAAATATCGATTTTTAATGTGAATCTAAATATACATCTTAAATTTATATTTAAGAATATTTATATTCGAAAAATTATTATTTATATTTAAGAAATATGAAAAGGGGAGAGTTGTTGTATTAGTACTAGAATTATCAATCTCCTGAATTTAAATTATAAATTTATATTTTAAAAAAGGGTATCGATATTAAAATAGAATTATCGATTTCGTGAATATATTTTAATGAAAAATTGTTGTATTAATACTAGAATTATCAATTTCCTGATTTTCAATTATAAATTTATATTTCGAAGGAGAGTATTGCTATTAGTACTAGAATTATTAATTTTCTGATTTTAAATTATAAATTTATATTTCAAAGGAAAGTATTTCTATTAGTACTAGAATTATCGATTTCCTAAATTTAAATTATAAATTTATATTTTAGAGAACAGTACTGTTATTAGTACTAATTATCAGATTTCAACGTATACCTAAACATAAATTTTGCATTTATATTTAAAATATGGAATAGAAAGCTTGTACTGCTATTATCAATCTTTACACGAATCTAAGTAGAAATTTGTTTTTAAATTTAAAGTATAAAAGAAAAGTTGTTATTAATATTGGAATTACTAATTTTCAATGTATTTAAATACAAACTTCAGATGTATATTTTAAGACACAAAAAGAGAAAAATTATTATTAATATTGGAGTTATCAATTATGTAATATATATCTCAATATATTCTACGTAAATAGTTTTACGTATATTAAGGTATAATATTAATTTTCCTAAGAGCACTTTTAATGGGCTTTTAATAATTAGAAAGATACGAAATTAAATGTTGATAAATCTAAGATTAAATCTATGAACTATGCAAGACACTTCAGAGTTTCCCAAGTATCACATGTATTTTTACTGTGACCTAAATGTACCACGATTATGGTTTCTCATCTTGTATGAAGTTGCCGTTTGATAAAATCAAGTTCAATTATCATCGTATCATTATCATATTATACACGTTACACTTTCGAGAGAAAACTGAACCGGATGAATAAGTTCAGGTACGCCTTTCTCAAATAATTAACTCTCTACTACGAAATTAATATCCTTCATTGTTTTGTACCTGTTAGCATAATCGTCCTGTTTTATCATGTCCGATATTTATTACCTCACATCACACTATCATTAACTCGATTCCAAAATAAACGAAATATCTTCACAGCTGGGGTATGAAATTTAACAATTAATTTGCAAATTACCTATGAAATAATAATAATAAAGGAAATTAAACAGCGTTAGATCTAAAGCCACGTGTTACCATTATACATTACCAAATAGTTGGAATGGCAAAACATTTACGAAAAATGAAATGGAATTTTAATCACCGAATTTCGTGCGAAAATTTTAAATAATAATAAAAGTAAGTGCAACAATTTGTCATTGGGCCCAAGTACATATGTTTATACACAATTATATACCATAAAATAATACGTTTGAAGAATGTGCTTATAAATAAAATTAATTATAATTAAAAATGTGTTACTATTAACAACACAAATGGTATTTTATACTAATATTTAAAATAGTTGTAAATAAATAAACAAAATTAGCTATCGTTAAAACTAAATATATGTACGTGTTCTATGCTTAAATTTGTCATTAAGCCCAAGTACATATGTTTCAAGTATATACTATAAAATGCTACGTATGAAGAATGTACTTACAATTAAAATTAATTATAATTAAAACCAACTATATGTATAATTATTAGATAACATAAAATGGTTCGTATTTTGCACTAATATTTAAAATAACTGTAAATAAATAAACAAAATTAGCTATTGCTGAAACTAAATATTTGTATGTGTTCTATGCTTAAATTTGTCATTAGACCCAAGTACATATGTTTCAATTTTATACTATAAAATACTACTATGTGTATTACTATTAACAACACAACTAAATATATGTATGTATTCTAATATATGTATTCTAATATATGCATGTGTTCTACTCTTAAATTTGTCATTAGGTCTAAGCACATATGTTTCAATTATATACTATAAAATACTACTATGTGTCTTACTATTAACAGCACAAAATGATTCGTATTTTACACTAATAATTAAAACAATTATAAATAAATAAACAAAATTAGCTATCGTTAAAACTCAATATACGTGCTCTACGTTTAAATAGTCAAGTATTTATAAGCAATGAAATCAAATTGCACTCACAGTATTTTACACTCGCATGAAAAATGATTATAAACAAACAAACAAAACTAGCTATCACTAAACTCAAATACATTTCCTCGAATAATCTTCCAAATATTGAAACACTTGCGAAAAAATTCAAGCAAATCACACTCACAGGATTTCGCGCCCACTGCTTGGCGTTCGGCTGTATACTTAAAAACTCGTGCCAAAGATGCAGATAGGAGGGTCTATTGCCTACTGAACGTTGCATCCCCCAGCCGGCTCCTAGCATAGGCGATTCTCTTCACCCTGGTCGTGCCTTCGTCCAACCATAAACCACGCCACTGCGCACTTCGCCTAAACCACGTGTCAGGTGTTCACGCCAGAGGACCAGGCTGATCACGCGAAATTCTGCGAGCAAAACCAAGGCGTGAATGGACACACGGCACAGGCCTGACGTTACTACTACGAGATGTTCGCCAATCCTGAATATAGCGTGACCGACCATGAAGATCTCGTGTGCACGATGCCCTTGACAGCAACCCTGCCGCAATTGCGTGACGCAGAGATGGTCACTGAACAGAAAACACCGTGTACTGTGATCAATCTTTTTGCTATGATAATGCGATGCTTCGTCTAAACAACGTCCGTTTCAGGTCTCGACTTAGCCTGTTCACCGTGTGTGACTTTCTTCCAACCAGCTACCAAGTCCTTGCAAGCAGGCTAGCTACGAACCGAAGACACACTGATCCAACAAATGCCATGTATATGAAATTGAACGAAGGATCGCTGTTAATTGCGCTTCAGCGCAAGTCTCGTTTTATCTGGAACGATCTACATGATCTAACCAGACCGTTCATTTGTTATCTTTTAATACGAAGTCCCCATGCTGTTATTATTTTATTGCGACTCGAACGGAAATGAAACATTGTTTGGTCACCGATCGTCGGTTATCACGAGTTTATCTTTCCATTTTATGAAATAGAATTCTAACGAGCATCCACGATGCTAAACGCTTGTTCTGGTTGTAGATATACACCAGTTTCCGAAAGTGTGACTAATTATTGCGCCTCATGGAAACAGCTTTGGCAATACCAGCTTCGACTCGGTGATATTAAGGGCAGTGATAAGAGTCTCGTTCGAAGGTCTCTCGACAGTCTTCGACCGCGACTTCCGGTCATCGCCTGCTACGTCTGACGTCTACTGGCTCCCGCTGGCCGAGATCTTACCAGTGATACGATTTGCTGCAAGTGGGTCGTCATTGCTTCGTAGAGGTCTCCTCTAGGTGAAATGCGTGTGGCGCGGGAGAATTTATTCAGCTTGGAACGGTGGTTCTTCGAGGAGACGAGGTTCTTCGTACGTGGTCGTGAAAAGTATTTTACGTTCGACATAAATCAATCCTTGCACCTTTTCCGTGGCCTATATCGGATCCGTTAACTGATATTACAGCGATGGTAAGCTCGCGTGCAGATAAAACCGCGACAATTAGCATACGTGAGGTCAGTCGATGGATTCAATGAGAAAGAGGCGCGATGGAACGTCACACCTGCAGTGTCTTGCACCCATTCTAACGACCTGCAGCGAATATCAAAGTGTCTGACCACTTGTACGATTATCGAAAATTTCGGTATTACAGTCCTTCTTATCAAATTCACTTTGATTGATTATTCAAATTTCCAGTAGTTGAAGAGTTTAATTATCAACCTGCACCTAGTACTTGCAATTGGATATAATATAAAGATATATTAATAATTTATGTTATCTATCATTACATAATTGCAATAATACATATGTAATAACGTAATTTGTTACAATAAATGTAAATGAATTGATAAGATATAGATTTTGCCAAAAGCTAGCTGCATATTTACAATGTCTACAAAAATAGAATATCTGAATACAGTCATTTGGAATGGCTCGGTAGTTCTAATTTTAAAGCAACAGCAAACTATATTATCAGCTAATTTGATACCGCTCGCTGCTATCGGTTATCGTAACACGAGGAATGTTGCTCTGTATTGGAAATAAAAATATTAAATAGGATCTAACGATAGTTTTACATAGGACAATGTAACGTACGTACAATACACGACAAAATACGTCACACGTAACAATGCGAGATAACGTTATAACGTTGTGACGTTATGAATAGTGGCAATGGACGTTTCTTGGTTTAAATCGCACTGTTGTGGAGCGTTTACAGCTGGAAGTACAGTCGTTGCCAAAAACATATTTTGCAAGATCACGATTTACAATCTTGTATTTTTTAAGTTAATATAAATAAAAGTCTCGTATAACATATTTTAACCCTTTGCACTCGAGAGGCGCCTCTCAGTCGCCATTTAATTAGATTCTAAAGATGGATGTTAATTAATATATAAAATTTACAATTACCCAACGATGCTTAGAATATCGAAGCAAAATAATTTTACGTCTTAATTTGCATATTCTTCTTATTTGCCGTTTTGAAAATATCGTCGACTTTATGGCAGAAAGCCTTCGAATTGCTATTTTTCTGTAACGAAAAAATTTCTGAGTGCAAGGGGTTAATATTAACCCTTTTCACTCGACGATTTTTTGACTAGAGAAGAGTAGAAATACAAAGATTCTCTATTAAAAGACTGACGATAATTTTTTGAGCAGTAAATAAAGAATTGTATAATAATAGAATTGTAGAATTATTTGATTTCGATACCTCGCACAGTATTAATTTGCATTAAATTTGATATATTAATTAATATCGATCTTCCAAATTCTATGACATGGTGACTGAAGGTCACCTCTGTGAGTGCAAAGGGTTAATATAACATTTACATATGTACTGTAAATTCATGTCATTTGGTGCAAAAACAAAGCGACAATCTCGATCATATTTGAACGATTTCAAAGACTGTTTAGAAAATGTTTCTCGTTTAATCTGCCATTATATGACACATACGTTATGGAAGACATGTATAGTTTATACTGAACATTTACGTTACCCATAATATCATCCAGAATAAAACGTTGGAAAGATTGGAAATAATCATATAGAACGGCGTTGAAGCAGACGTGTGTTTATTTTATACGATATAAATCCTTTATGATAATACTCGATGTACCTGTAAGATAGCACAAGCGTTTTCACAATTATTAAAGTTTTATATGCACGCTCTATTATTCGTTCGATATCGTATACCTTCGGATTTATGAATTACATATACTCTCCTAATGACAACCAATTTCGAACAATTACCTGACGATAAATCACGCTGGTCCTATTAACCGAGTGCTCCTTACTTCGATCAAATCCAAGACGTACTACGACTTCGTTCCTTTCCACGAGAGGCGCCTTGTCCGAAGATTAATGAACCTGTACTTTTAAAACAGGGCTTTGCCAAGGCCGGCACGGGAGGTGTTCCCCAAGTGCATACACGCTCTAAATTGAGAAGCAGTGAAGATTAGGGTGTGTTTAAGGCGAGGCGACTGTTTTTTATTACATAGATTTCTTAATGCCTGACACATAACGGTCGCAAATTTCGTACACACCTCTATGCTTTCCGTGAGCCAATGCAATCTTATCGATTGTCCCTTGCATTATTCTAGGTTTATCAGCGGTCGGGTTCGAAATTCGTGTACAGGAAGCACGTGTCGTTGATACATCCGTCTTCCCCGGAGGCGCATGGTTCATCGACATCGAAGAACAGTTAGATTTCTGTGGAGAAAAAAGGACGCGTTCGTAAGGGGGAAGATAATTGTCGGTAATAACCTCTGCGCGGGCATTATGAGGATTGTCCGTGTAAAATGTGGAACACGAACTCGCTCGTGTTCGCTAAGAAATACATTCTTATCGGCTTGGTACTTGCTTCGTAGAAAAACAACGAGACGATGAACCAGTTGACAGTCGTGAACTCGTAAAAGGACCGCTAATGACGATGATGATCCTGTTGCGCTATTATGCTTCCAGGAACGTGCGCGGACGCACTGCGCATGCGCGTATGTACAAGGTCCGCGAAATAACAGAGGCTATCATGGCCGCGTTGATATCAAGTTTTGACTGCGCACATCGACGTCGCGCAGCCTTGAACTTTACCATCGGTCTAAAAAAAACCGCGAGGAACGAGGAAGAATAATTTTTTGAAAGGATCGCTCGCCCTGTGAGAAATTATTGTGGGTAATGTCGATAATTAATTAATTCGATTCGAAATTTTAAACGATGTATTATAAATGCATTATTACCGCTTTTAGGACCTGCTCTATGAAGTGGAAATGGATTGATTTATGGTTAAGAGACAGATAAAAAGTTGCTAATTATGGTGTTATTACGAATCGAAGCAATCCCATCGGGAAACGATAAGCGATGTTCGATTAATGTATAATGTTCTTTTTATAGCGAACCACTCAAGTTTAATTAACATAACACAGCAAGTTAATCTCGTTAAGAAAGCTGATATATGGACGAATTAAATCATCCTCAAGTAGAGAATCAGTGGAGGCGTGCAGCGCTGCGTTTAGAAATGCAAATTGGCCATCCGATCAATTTGTAACACTAAACGATTCATCCTGCGAGATTATTTTTATATCCGATTACGATTAAGCGTGGAAAGATCCTGTCCCTAAATTTTCCTGCAGAGTAAGAGAAAAGAGAATGGAGGAAAAGAAACGCTTTATCTTCAACGATGCAACGGTGACAATCTTTATTAATGTTTTTCAAGTCGACGATTAAGCTCCGACTATCTTTTAATGGCTTCTTTGCTTTCTACGAATGTTACCCAACAATGTATTCACGTTTAACATTTGTCTGCGTAGCAACAGATACGGATGGCCTGCATGCGAACCGTTAAATTTGCAGCCAATCATTGTGCACATCCGATTGAATGTTAAGAAAGAATGCTGAACAAATAAGGGGGTAAACACAGCGACTTGTCAATCTGACAGGATCGTAATACGGTGGTAGGGATAGATCGTTGCATACAAATCATACGTAGAGAGCTTCTAATTTACATACGATTTCAGGAAAACTACCGATAGAACATAAGGGTAAAGATTTCTCTTATGTTCTTATCTCTGTCATTAATAACGCAATATCGGTTTACTGTTAATAGCATAATATCAATCCACTATTAATAGCAATATATTATTATTAATAGTAGTATGAAAAACACAATTGGTATTCATAGTTAATAAGATGTCATTATTATTCGTAATATTGGTAGATTATCTATACAATAAAAATATCCAATTGTAGTTATATTTATAAACCGTTTGATCATACAATTTCGAAGAATCAAG